TATGCTGATCAAGCGGTATTGGATGTGCACTATGACATCTCCACACATCATTGTATAGGGATGCTGGACGCGATTTCCAGCTCACTCACATCACATCTCTGTTAGGGTTTAGTGTCTTGGATTGATTGATAGGATTGGGATGCATGGGTAGGAGGTCAATCAATGCCTCTGCTCTTTAGGGAGATACGGTAGACATGGCACTTAGGTTTCTCCCTTCATGTGGCACATATCTACTGACGAACACATACAGATAGTACTGGAAGCACAGTATGACATATCCACACATCATTGAATAGGGACGCTGGACCCGATTTCCAGCCGATACACATCATATCATTGTACGGGGACGCTGGACCCGATTTCCTGCAGGTGCAGCTCCCCACCAATAGATGGAGCCTTCGATGCTGGGGCCTACTTACCGGGGCTGCTCTTATCACCCCGCTAAGTAGGTTTGTCCCGCATACAAAGTTTAAAAAAAAAGAAAAAAGAAGGAAAAAAAAAGACATAGAGTGCATGGCCAATCGCCAAACATGGTATGACATGGGTACTCCATACATGGACTCGGGAATGAAGGGCAGGGGCTAAGGAAGGTAGTGCTATGGGGTGGATGGTTACCAGGTCCAGGGAACAGGCTGCCTACAGTAGGCGGCGAGTAGAAGCAGTGGGGAATCTGGCAGCCACTCAAGGGCTGAAGAGGCTGGCCACAGCCAACATACACACTCAAATTCCCAGTATTTCTAAGCAAACTCTGTAAAAGATTCTGTATAAGGGACACTGGACCCATTTTCCAGCAGGTGCTGCTCCCCACCAACAGCCATCAGGTGGACTGCTGGTGGTGGGGGCTCGTAACACCACCACTAGAAGTGCCAGCTAATGTCTTTTCAAAAAAAGAGAAAAAAAAAGGATCCCTTCACCAGGCGGGGGCTCGTATCCCCGCCCAAGGAAGGATACGCTTTTTTTTTTTTCCTTCTTTTTTTTTTTTTTTTTTTCAAAATGGGAACAAAGCTCCAATCTATTCGTGGGGAGCAGCACGTGCTGGGAACCGGGCCCGGCGTCCCATATAGAAAATTACATAGGATTTTGGAAAAATTGAGAATTTGCAGTACCGGGGCCACTACCCAGCTTCGGCTAAGAGCTAGATTAAGAGATACAAACAAGGTACCGAAAATAGGCAAAAATTCAGGAACAGACTCAGACCCCCCTCCATCCTCATTACCTCACTCCGGCAAGTCTTACTGCAGCAGAGCCACCATCTCTGCTGCTGCTGTACCCTATTACCATCCTACCGGCTAGCCCCCTCACTAGTAGGACGCTTGATATCCAACCTTCTTCTCCCACTCACCTAGGCAAAGTTTCAGGAAACGTCTCGAAAATGCCCATCCATCCTCTTTACCTCACTCTGGCAAGACTTACTGCAGCAGAGGCACCAAGGAAGGATACCCTCACAGATGTTTCCCAAAAAAAAAAAAAAAAAAACGGATAATTCTGATCAGAAAATAAAGAGCACTTTTTCGAGCGGTCGCTCTACCTACGCTCGACTTTGGCACTCTCCAGCAACTCACCATTCTTCTGCTCACATGACTATGAGGAAATATATTGCCAGCCCGGTCTCAAGTGCCGCCTGACTGTCGAAAATCGAAGCTGTTCCAGGGCTCCCGTAGAGGACTCTCTCTTTTCCACAGTTGGTAGGCTGACTCTCCAAAAAATGAGAGTCCTGTCTGGAAGGAACATTTTTTTTTTTTTTTTTGTAAATAACTGGGGAGAGACGCGTACTGGGAACCAGGCCCAACATCCCTTATAAGACTACAAGATTATAATTGAGGATACCGGGGCCATTACCCAGCTTCAGCTGAGAATCATTTCAGAAAAAGCTATGAAATTCATCTTCTGCCAAACCCCTTATTCCAGGTGACGCTATATAAGTAACTGACACCAATCTTAGCTGTCCTGTTGTCAATACACAGCCTCACACCCCCAACATGCTAGGCAACAGGGCAGCGCGACCCACCCCAGCTCCGACCATCGTTGTCCTGGCAGCAGCCCCCGATCAGCCACTGGATTGCCTTCCACCCTCAACGAATACCCAGATCTCTACAAGGCCTCACGCTCCTGCCTTAACATGTTACAGGGAAGACGCCCCAGCACCAGCCAGCGTCGTTCTGGCATCAGCTAACCTAGACAACTGAACATCGCAGCTTCATCTGGCATCGGATGAGCCTATACCACCCGGTTTCTGCAGAAGCTTGAAGTAATCCATGATTAGTGATGATCGCTGATGATTTGATACTAAAGAATACTGAAAGTCAGATTAATGAAATTTTGCGCAGACTGGCTGGGAGGGGAAAAGAAAAGTGTAGCGGACCTCTGGTTGTCCTGTGAGACAAGCCCCTTGGCCTGTTCTCCCAGGCCTGTGGTGTACTCGGGGTAGTCCAGTCCAGGCCGGTACCTCTGTCGGTACCAGCCAGTCCAGTCCAGTCCCGTCAGTCCGCTGGAGTATACCCCAGCTGTTGTCAGTTTTCTGATTCATCTACATTCGCACATCTTGGAGTACGTGCAGCGGAGTCTAGCGTGGGAGCTGCGCTGTGCCATCTCGCTCCCCTTCATCCTCCATCTCCATCTCTACCCCAGGCGGAGCACCACACCTGGTGGGTCCGCCACATTGGTATTGGAGCGGGAATGCTCCCCGCTCCCACCCGCCACACCACACAGCAGGGGGAAACAGCAAAACCCGACAGTGGGGTTTTTCGCTGTTTTTTGGGCTGCCCGCAACGGAAAACAGCGGGAAAATTAGAGGAAAAGGTGCAGCATGAAGGAACGCCACGTGGCGCGAAAATACACGCGGTGCTTGCCAAGGCCACTGCGCACGCACATGCGCCACGCGCCCACGCTGCCCCGCCCCGGCCCACTCCCGAATTGTATATTATCAAGATCCTTATCAAGATCCAGGATGCATGCTGCCACCAGGGTTTGAACCTGGACAGTTGCTGGCTATGCGCGTGCATAGCTGCTGCCATAACACACTGGATACAATGTCTACATGGCTTAGTAGTGCGGCACGTTGCTGTTGAAGAGTTGCGTGCCAGCTAATTACCACCACCACCACCCCCCGCGCCGGCGAGCAGCGGCCAACAGGGCAGCAACGGCCGGGCTGCTATTTGCCCGCCCCCCCCCCGGCTGCTGCTGCCTGCGCACGTGGCCATCTGCAGTGCCACGTGGCAGCTTGCTGTGGAACTGAAGACCCCCCTGATCAGGGGGCTGCTCTACACTGGTGAGGGTCTGCTCACACAGCATACCCTGGATCTGCAGATCTGCGGTACTGCTGCTAGGGGCTGATCAAGATCTCAGCCCCTCTCTCCTCCAGGTGGCTTGCGGCAGCGAAGGCCAAGACCCTCCTGGTTTTGGTATACCTTGTGCCATTGGAGACACCAAAGGCCAGGTATCACCTCTCTCTTCCCTCTCCCCACTAACCCACTTTCCCTACCTTTTCTCTCTCCTCTTACTCACCCCCTCTACTTCTTCCTCTTCTACGTCACTCCCTTCCTCCTACTCACCCTCACTACTCATACCCCTTTCCCCATTTTTTATTCATTTATTTCCTTTTCTTTCTCCTTTTTTCTCTTTGCTTCTTGATCCCTCTCCACCTTTCCCATCCCGTTCTCTCCCATTCTCTCACCCTCCTCTCCCCCAACTACAACCCCATCACTTCTCCCATCTCCCCCTTCACTCTTTTTTTCTCTCTCACCTATTTCTCTCTTCTCCTTCACTTTTTCATCCCCCTTCCCTCCTACTTCAATTTTTTTTCTGTTTTTTTTTTTCTTCTTTCTATCTTTCTTTTGATTTATCTTTCCTCTTTTTCCAAAAATTCGAATTATCTTATCCCCCACTTTCTTTTCTTATTTTTTGATTTATTTTATTTTATTTTTTATTTTTATGAAAATTTGAATTTTCTTGCGGCACCCTTAAATCTGATTAGGAGTTAGTCATTCTTGCTTTCGACACACATTCTGATCCCGTAGGGGTAAGGAAGTGCTGCCGAAATTTTCTGTTTTTCTGTCACTTAGTCTTTTTCGGCACACTTCAACCTCATGGGGGTAATGAAACGCTGCCGAAATTTTTGAAAAATCCAACACTTTATCTCTCTTCACCTCCTCATCTATTTATTTTCTTAAATTTTTAATCTTCGGCATTTTGAAACCTAGTGTGCTTATCTTGGTCTCTCCTTTCCCTTAGCACATTCTTGACCCCATGGGGAGCAGGGAAATGCTGCCGAAAATTCTAAAAAAATAAATATTATTTTTCTCTTCACATTTTGTTTCCTTATTTTTTTAATTTTATTTTTTTTTTTTCTCTCGAAATTTCACTGTTTATTTATTTTTCTCTCGTCTCCCCCATTCTTGCTATTTTATTTTCTTGATCAGGTCACCGGTACCCTACCCTAACCATTCAAACTCCGGTTAGGGTTTCCTTAGGTTTTTTCTAGGGTTTAGGGTTTTTCTAAACCCTTTCCTACTCCCCCTTTCCATTCGGGCACCCTGGACCCGAACCGCCCTTCCCCCTTTGCGGACACCCATGCTCGACTCACTAGCGCCGCCCGTCGCTTTCTACCGCGGACCCCCCCTACGCCCTCCGCTCACGCGGACCTCCTCTGGCTCCCTCATGTCCGGTCCGTCACCTCCCGCTGGCCGACGGCGTGTCACAAGCCGCCGACGCAGCGACGACCTCGGCACCGGGCTCCATACCCGTGCCGGCAGACCAGGGTCATCAACCCAAGGGGGATCTGCACACCCTCCTCACCTCCCTCCTTGCGCCCTTACAGGCGCAGGTGGCGACTTTGTCGCTGGCCTGTGACAACTCTAGGACGTTGGCCGTCCTTCCTCTCCCCTCTCTCTCTCTTCTCATGGCTCCCAGTCTGGGTCCCCCATCCTCCGACATGGTGGCTACGGTGGAGCTTCCTTCTCTGCCGGCCCCGACCCGACCATCCTGGTGACTGTCCACGCTCCTAGCGCGACGGTCGCCACGACTCAGGCCCTCCCTCACTCTACGGGCACACCCGCCTAGATTCCGGTCACTTCGGCCACGGGACCACAACCCGCTGCCATGGTCCCAGCTTTTCCGGCATAACACCAACACCAACACCAACAACAACAACAACAACAACAACAAGAGGGGCGTAGGCCATACCTGCGTCAGCGGTACTTACCTGGTTGCCATAGCCGTGCTCCACGCTCGCGACCTGCATAACAACAGCAACAACAACAACAACAGCAACAACAACAACAACAACAACAACAAGAGGGGCGGAGGCCATACCTGCGTCAGCCGTACTTACCTGGGCGCCATAGCCATGCTCCATGCTTGCGACCTGCACAACAACAGTAACAGCAGCAACAACAACAACAACAACAAGAAGAGGGGCGGAGGCCATACCTGCGTTAGCGGTACTTACCTGGACGCCATAGCCGTGCTCCACGCTGGCGACCTGCACAACAACAACAA